AAGGATGATGATTTCTTCAGTTTTGTTCTAACCATCTTTTCATTTCATTGCTTCACACATGTTACGGGGCAACATTTTACCCCCAAAATATAGATATGGAAAGTGACACCTCGAATAATATTGACCATATAATTAATTAAGATACATCTAATCTATAATTAAGATAGTGTAGATGTGGATAGGCACAAAAACCTCTATAAAGCTTTTATGACCTCTATAAACTATAAAGTAGAAAAATAAAATAAAAAGTTGTATAGTGAAAAAGAAAGTGGGACCTACAAAAGTTCAAGCGAATCGTGAAACCAATAGTTTCAAAGAAGCCCACTCGCAGGTACAACCCAGTCGCCGAGGTGAGAACCTCAAAGAGATCAGAAAAAAAAATCAAGATATTATATTCATCAAGTGGTCTGAGTCTGTCGCGCGTGGGAAGACATCGAAAGAGGAGAGAGAGAGAAGAAAACGAAAGGACTTAAAAAGAAAACCTGAATTCGAGCTGGCGAGATATATGCGCGTTAGATCCGAGTGGTGAGTAGGTCCTACATTCACGTGGCGTCCATCTATGCTAATTGACAACACGTGTAACTCGATCAGTTGTGTTAGGACACGTGTTTCGATCTTAAAGACTATGTTTTGTCTCTCTCTTTGTCTTTGGAACTGGGGACGGGATGAGAATCCAGGCCCACGCGAGTCACGACAAAAACTTGACCAAGTAATGGTTTCCGAAAAATAATAAAAAAATCGAAGGGTGATTTTTAGAAAAGAAAGTTTGAAGAGATTCTATACTACTTTCTTTATCATAACAAATTTTAAGAAAAACACATTTAGTCGAACAAAGAAATCTTTTTTTTTTTACTAGCCAACTATCTGAGATCAAGTGATGATGAGACGAACTGATTTTTCGAGAAGCACCTAGGAAAATTATAAAAAAAAAGAAAAAAAAATTATAAAAAAAAATTATAGATTTTACGGGTTTTTTTAGAATTTTTTTTAATTTGAACATAATTTAATATCAATATTCAACTTTAACTTTAAAAGATAGACATCTAGATTTGTGTAAAAACTAAACAAATTTCCTAATATCATTTATAAATGTTAAATAATCATTTATACAAGTTAATAGACTTAATTTCACCATTAAATACTAAATTCTACTCCCTCCGTTTCGAATTATATGTCATTCTAGAGGAAAATTTTCGTTTCAAAATAAGTGTCGTTTTAGAGTTTCGAGACATAATTTATTAGGTTTATATGATATTCTATTTTTCTATTGGTTGAAAAGTGGTTAGGTGTATTGGTAATTGTGTTTTTATACTGAAAATATGTAAAATTAAATATTTCCTTAATCTGTGTGTAAAACCTTAGAATGACAAATAAACTGAAACGGAGGGAGTATTTCCAAATACTATGATATTTTTAATTTAAAATATTTTTGAAAATAGCAGTAAACTTATGATACTATGCTATTTTGACTGACTTTTTTATTTATATTTGTGCTTTAATAAACTGTTTTGTATTTATTGATACTACCTAATATTCCCCTAGTTTTGTTTGTTTTGGTAGAAAACAAGAGACTTCTACCGGCGTGAACCGATATTTACATCATTTTTTTGTTGGAAATGCAGACTAACTTAGAAAAATATTATAATATACACATATCTGTATAAAAATAACAAAAATATATCTTCTTCTTTTTTCATCAGCAAAAAGATTATAGCAGGACATTTCTCGTAATAACAATTGCCGTAACGGGTGTTTGCATGACTAATAATAGACTAGTAGTGTTTAGTAACATAATTTTTTTTTTTTTGAATATATGTTAAATTTATTCAAAAGAAAACTACCATTGTTACATAAATTTATGTTATGCATACCTTTTTTTTTAATGTTATGCATACTTGTACACATTTTAACCCACAAAATAAATTTAAGGTACGAAGAATTAATAGTTTAGTTTGCATTGTGTTGTTTGTATCATACGGCAGACTCCATAAAATATTAGGAAATACACCGAGGACCCCAAATCTGATAGTCCACATATTCTTTGTAGTTTTAACAATACAGAAAACATTTGTAGGTAAGAAAACAAATATAGATTATTAATTAACAACACGAGAGAAAGCACGAGTGGGGGGAGCTTTGTGCAGAGTGTTTTCATTGGATACAGAATATATACTATATAAAAACGACATATTATTAAACAAATAATCGGTATGGAACGGCTAAAATGACGAGTGATGATGTAATCCTCGACGGTTCTGGTTCTCCGCGCCGCTCACACCGACTAAGAGCAACTCCAATGGTGTTACTCCCATTGGAGTCCTTAGCCATTAATTTTTATTTTTTATTTTTTTTTTAATAATTAAGGATTCTAGTATAAATTACATGTCCAATGGTGTTCTTCATTAAGAATTCTTAAGAATAAATTTTTTTAAAAAAAATTAGAAAATGTTATGCTTTTGTTTGATACTTGTGTTTTGTGCACATAGTCCACATTCATAGTAAAGGAAATTTCGAATATTCAAAGGCTTTAGAAAGAAAAGGACCTTGGTAGCACGGGTGGATATGTGAAGCTTCTGTAGTTTCTGATGCTGATGGAGTTCTGTATCATCAGATAAACCTGTGAGCCTTCTGATCCTGTTCGAGAAAGTATGTGCGTATTGAGCATTGTTTTCTTGATGATTTACAAAAAAATTGGTTGAGAATAAGGTACCTTAAGCAAACGTGGAATGTGCCAAATGTTGGGAACATCATATAGAGTGAATATATTATGCTGCTGAAATAAGAACCATAGGCTCGTAAATAACATTACAATAATAAACAAAAATAATGGCAGCATCTTACAGGGGCATGGCAAAACTGAGCTAGCTTTTCTTTCACATTCTCTTCAAGTACCTAAACGTTAGAAAATAAGAAGAAAAAAAAAGAAGTTAACAGACCAGGAGACTGTAACTTCTAGATGAAACAGATTTAGAGTAAAGATGAAGACCAAACCTTTGTGCTCCGACAAGCTAAGAAAGCAAACTTAATATCACTCAATAACATATTCCCTCCTTTACTATGCGAGTCACCACAATCAGAGATCTCCCTCTCGCTGTTATCCTCTAACAAAACAGTAACATGACACTGCTATCAGAAGAAACAAGTTCTAATACTCAAAACCAAACTAAAAAAAAACAATACCTTTCTCAGGTAAAGAGATATCTTCAACAGAACCCTGAATCACCTCAACAATATCTTCAAGACCATTGGCTTTGACAAGAGCACGAGCATGATCAGCCATCGTAGTAGCTTCCACAGCATAAACTTTCCTCGCACCAGCTTGAGCTGACCAAATCGCAAGTATCCCACTCCCTGTTCCAACGTCCAACATAGTCTTCCATAACACATAACAAAAACTAGCCAAACTTTACAGAACAGAGACCAATGACTTTATACAGAAAAAGGTTTCAGCTTTGAATACCTTTCCCTCAAAGTGATGTTTGTTCTGGAAACAAGGAGCAATCTCCCACACATCGACTTCTGCAGATCATAATACACCAAATCGTAAACGAGGAGCAATCTCCCACACATCGACTTCTGCAGATCATAATACACTAAATCAACACAAAGGAAATGCAAAGATTGACCGTCATCTAGCCAAACAAGAGATTATAGTCTCAAAGCTGTGTCCTATCCTCCAAACCCGCCACCTAGAATACACACCCCCCCCCACCGACAAATCCAAGCTCTTCTCCATCTCCACCATCTAACTCCAATTCAACCTCATCCTCTCCGCTGCCTCCTTTCGTTTCTCCTGAATCTCATCCCTAAATCGATTTCAAAGGAAAATCCCAACCAGAAAATGAGAGGAAAACAACATGAAAACGATTTCGAATCAATAAATCAACCAAAGGAACCTTTGATTTACCTTGTAAATCTGAAGAGAGGAAATCGCCTTTCTCACATACACAATTTTTTTTCGATGTAGAGTAGAAAATGAAACACATCGAAACGACCCCTCTCTCTCCACTGCCACGTCAATAAGGATTGAATCCTTAAAAGCCTTACCTACGGATCAATCCTTATGTTAATCACTTTTTTTATTATTTTTTTATCCTTCATTGCATATGTAATCCCGCTAAGGATTCATTAATTACTTGCGTTGTAGGTGCTCTAACCTCGTAAGTTTCCAAATGGTCGAGACTTATATTATAATATGCTGTTTATATTCCATAATCCTTTTTTTGTTTACACCCTTATTTTGTCTTTCTTATATTTTGTTGTTTTTCTAGTATCTGCTTAAAAATATTTAATTCTTGCAAAATTCTGTTAGCAAAAAAAAAAAGCATCTTGCAAAATGATATAGTTCTTTGTTATAGTTGATAACACACAAAAAGGAAGGGGTTCAGAAAAAAAAAAGTTGACAAAAAAAGGAAGGAGATATTTATATGCATCGTATATATATTATAGTCATTATTATTTTCTTAGTTTTGTGAATTTTGTATGACTATTATTTTCGATTTGGATATACTATATTCAAAAGAATATACTGATTTGACTAATTTCATGAATGAAGATATATTTTTATCCACAGCAAATAAAAATTTATAGTAAAAAAAATCTGAAATTTAAAAACTATTTTAGATTTTCCGTGCAGAATTCGTAACAAAGTACAAAATTTAGTTATAGATTTAACATAAAGCAGACGAATAAACTTCTTTATACAAAACAATTTCCTTATTTTGCAAAAAAATAATTTCGAGACCGAAAAAAAAAAACAAAATGGGTAAAAGAATATGCCAATACGACACATGTAATATTCCTTCCACGAAAGAGTAAGGGTAATTACGTAACTTCACACTGACGGAAACTGGAAGTTAAGCGAAAACCTTATCCATTTTATCCAACCCGAAAACGTGTATAAAAGCAAAGACCCCCTCACAACTATTTCTTCTCACACCAAAACCATAACTCAAAAAACTCTATAATTAAAAATATTCTTAAAAATCTCTTCTCCTTCAATGGCCACCGGAAAAAGCTATTACCCACGGCCAAGCCACCGTTTCCTCGGCACAGATCCGTCGTACTACTCCTCCTCCACCGACTCCACCTTCGAGTTCGACGAATCCGATCTCTACTCCTCCGATTCCCCTCGGAAAATCTCCACATCCGCCAGATCCGGCACAAAACAGTCTAACCGTCCGTCGTCGTGCGCCGCCGTGGCGGCGAAGTCTCTCCCGGTGAACGTCCCGGACTGGTCGAAGATTCTCCGTGAGGATCGCCGCGATAATCATCACCGGAGGAGGATCGAGGAGGACGACGACGGCGATTCCGAGGACTGGTTGGACGCGAGCGGCGGGAGATTGCCGCCGCACGAGTTTCTGGCGAGGACGAGGATGGCGTCGTTCTCGGTGCACGAAGGTGTTGGGAGGACGTTGAAAGGGAGAGATCTTAGTAGGGTCAGAAATGCAATTTTTGAGAAGATTGGGTTCCAGGATTAAATATTTTTAAAGTTTTTTTTTTGTTTCGGAGGTCCTTTTATTTTTGGTTTACTTCGATTAGTAACCGCGCGAGAGAGAGAAGGCATATAATATTTATAGAAATGCCCTCGTTTTTATCGTTAGTTCCGAGAATCTTACCCATGTAATTTTTCTTAACATTTTGCTTATTGAGTAATAGATTATCTTTCCGGAAGAAAATAAAATTTCTCATCTTTTAATTATTTGCCGATTAAACTGTGATATCAAGATTTGGGAAATGAAGTTAAATAAAATTAAGGGTGGAAAATAGATAAAAGATAAAAATGGGGGGGGGGAGTATAAATTTATTGGTGGGGTTTGGGGTGTTTGATGTGGTTGGTGGTGGGTAAAGAAAAAAGCAAGGGCTATGAACATATGATAGTGACATAGTTGATTAAGATTTCTTCTTTATTTAAAAACGGCATTATAACTTTAAGATTATGGTTTACAGTTAATGATGCTCAACCAAGTTCGTCTGCTTCTTCCTAAGAAATGTCGGAAAGGGATTAGTATGTTTCTTATTATGTAAATTAAGATAAGGTTGTTTATTATTATATTAAGCAAACGGTTACGTGAATGGTTTAGTTCATGTGATTTGGAAGATTATGGTTTCCAAACTATAGAATTTTTGTCATCATCCACACTTTTACTAACATCCAAATCCCGAATTACCAAGTTGATGTCCCATGGATTAACCATGGTAAGGAAACTAGGATGGACTATATGGGTGGAATATTTAGCCATCCAAAGATGTCGGCAAAATATTTTAACGCTCTATGTAAAAATGGAAGGTCTTCTTTAGGCGATGTCTTGTTTACTTGAATTACGAGTGACTACGATACATGTAGAAACAGATTGCTCTGATTTTAATGGATATATGGATATGATAGCTAGCTATATTGACTAGTCGAGTATTGTTCCAGAACTAGTCTCATTCAAACGGGATTCACTATCTCTCATATTATTAGAGCTAGAAATGTACAGGTAGACTCACTTGCGAAGACGGCGAGGAGTACAGACGTTCTCTTTCATGTTGACAAGATCCGGCTGGACCAAGTGTTTTTCAGAGCTATTCAAATTCGAGTATAACTTGATCTTTAAAATAGGTGTTGATAAAGAAAATTCACACATTTCCTAAAAACAAGAATTAGAAGAAAAAAAGAACTTTGAAATTTCTCTTCATGTTATAGGTTTCAGTGTAAATAAAAAGTATGATCGATATTTTATCCGTTAAGTTTAACTCAATTCGTTATTCGATCTAAAAAAATTGGATATATATTAGTCTTCGGAGCACATAAATATTAAAGGTCAATACCCGTTAAATCGAAGTAATTCACATATATTAAATTTTTTTGAGATGGATATCTGATCCGTTCCGACTTTTGTACAAATAGATGTATATCTAAAATTACACATGGAGTCTTATAAATTTGTATACTTATTATTTTAACATATAATTCTATAAATTTATAATTATTTATAAAGATATTAATTTAAGAAAGAAATATAATAATTACAAAACTTTTGATCTATGGTGAATAAGTATCATACCAACGGGAACCAACAATACTAATTTTTTTTAAAATTTTCTGTTTTATAAAAAAAATTTACTTTTTAAAAAATTATGGAGCGTATCTAACTTTTATTTTTTTATTTTATATTATGTAAAATATATTTTTGATAACAAACTTATTATAAATTTACTTGTACTAAACAATGTGGATAAGATATCCGTAAATATTTCTAATTATTTATAAAAAAATTAAATCCGGATATTCGTATTTTTCAAAAGCAAATGAAAAAATCGTATATCTGTCAAATATTAAAAATTATGGTATCCACTTCTATTCAAAAATTTGTAATTGCATATATGAAACTAAAAGGTTAGAAATATTCTCCACGTAATACAATTATCTTATCCTCAAACTTAATTTTGAAATATATCTCTATCTTTTTTATGTCCAAAAAAAAAAAGACTCATGAATTTTCGCAAATATAAAAGTAATGTATAATTGCAAACATAAATGCGAATGGGGTCGTAATTTGTATGACCTAAAAATGTCACTATAATGACTACTTTTTTTGTCAGCCACTGTAATGACGACTACTTAAAGATCTCAAGTTGGGTGTCGTATTCTGATCAAAGGCCAACCGTTTCGCCCCAGATGTGGACCATCTTCAGTATGTGGACACGCAACACATATGAAAAAGCTATCACAAATAACGAATGTGATCGGGTGAACTCTATGCCCAAACCGAAGTTTTTGGTTAGCCAAGTAGCTAGTATTTGTGTTTAGTGCAGCCAAATAGCTAATATTAGTGTCGTCACTAGCCAACTTTCGTAGAAATTAAACTATAAGCAATCTGCCTTGCTTTGTACATGACATCTATGTAAACAAATTTAAAATCCTTCAAGTTAGATGAACAGTCCACATCTGTTATAGTCATTGGTCATCATATTGTATTTTTAGTTCAGGATGCAGTATGGCACACTTATGTTATAATAAAATTAATATGATTGTGCATACGTACACACACTTCCACCATAAGGTAAAATGGCCCACGAATATAAAGCCCAAAATCTATTATAACTTTTAGCAGTGTAGATACCTGTTAAGAATTCTTTTTACTTTATGGGCTTATCTATGTCGAAACTGTAACTTTTACTGTTTTGAATTTCCCATGATCATCTGGTGGTACACTCTGCAATCTTGAAAAACTATAACACTATCGTCGCCAACAATATTACAGATGAACTTTTGTTGACAAAACAATATGTATTACTTGGATTTGAATAAGTACGGGTGACATTTAAATTTTGTTAACATTTCTCGAATACCATGAAAATTTAAAGACCCTAATGTCCGCAGATATGAAACCACAAATATTAGTTTCATCCTAAACATCATTTGATCTCACAGCATCTAAACGTTGTCCATATACTGCCTATCCATAAGGCACTTGGTAATAAATAACTACAAACATTATAGTAAAGCAAACATAAAATTATAAGAAACATAATATGAACCACATCGTGGTGTAGAAAATTGATATTATTCTAGAATTGAGCAATTGATTATCTTATTGTAAGTGAGCGTATGGTGTCATTTTTTCAAAAGTGTTTCTCGTTGGAATGTCAATGACAGCTGATTGTTATTGATGTTAGAACCTTGAAATTTCCTATATGTTCCAAAACTTAGTTTGACTTTGGTGCAGAAAAGAAAACAAAAAGTCGAGGAGAAAACAGTAAGAAGAATCATGAACAACAACGTGCCACGGACGTTTACATGAAAATGGTAAACTGGTAATGACACATCAGTGTTCAGTCAACTACATCAATTAGCCAAGTCTTAAGCAATACTCTTCCAGCTGTCGTTATCAACTGCCAACCGATGAGGACCAATCCTATGTTCTCCTAGATAGGGACTATTGTTTGTTTGTTTTTCGTGAATATATATATTTTTAAAATCATTTAATATAAGCTTTTTAAATTAGTATAACCTTAAACATAGCAAATCAAATTTGTTGATTGTAAAGCGGAACCGCCAAATACAAACGAGGAAGAGCCTTAAGTTTTGTATATTTGTTCCATGTAAATTCAGACGCAAAAGCTACGTTTACAACAATCAAGACCGTAGTAACATTGAAAAGGCAGATCAAAGGAGGAGAGGGGCACAGAGACATCATCAAGTAAAAAACTGATAAATCTTTCTTTTTGTTAACAAAAGGAATTTAGTTGAAAGACAAAAGGAATAAATTATGAAGGAATTGATGGGGTCACAAGTTAGGTCAGATCTCCACATTCGGACAGCTACTACTAAAAGTACTGATGGGGCCCATTACAAGACAAAGTGGGTCCATATGATTGGATCTTTTATTGGCCCAAAATATTTGGTTATCGAAACTTGTTCCATTTCCACATTATTCTCTTTCTCCTGCAAGCAATGGGCTCATGAGATCTGTAAAGAAAGCATCACTCTCAGCACAATACACTGTACCACACATATCTGCTTCTCACTCTATAGAAATCAAGAAAAAATAGTTTATAAGTATATACATGTTTTTACTAGTGAACACATACCTCAATATTTTCTAATTCATTAATTAAAAAAATGTAAGTTTTAGAAAATTTCAAATTGATTAAAACACATAACCGAACACATACCTCTCAAAAATGTGTGAAAGTGAGATAGTTTGCTGCTGAGTCATGTTATTGCATCTTGATAGCTACGTATCATATGAATGCCATTAGTCATAAACGTAAACTAGGGTCAAATCTGTGTCATGCAAGGAGTGAAATTCGGTAATAAAAAATATTTATATGATCTATTTATTGAATATGAATAAAATGTATATATTAATTTTTTTCTCAACCCGTCACGTTTAGATAAACATGAGTTGAAACATTTAATTTTTAAAGTTTTATTAGTTATGAACATGCATTAATTATTAAAAACCCATCAAAATGTGATGGACTAATTTTTATATTTTCATTAAATTTACAACATAGTATTGTCGTCGAGATAAACGAACGAGAGGAAAAAGAATTTGCTCTACGACAATTTACAGGATTTAAATTTGACAGAATGATCATAAATATATTATAATCATTTGTATCATTTTATAACATAAAGTTTAACTATTGAGGGAACTATTAACCACTGTTTTAATAGTTTTGAAAATTAAAAATATAATATATACGAAAAAACTAAATTTTTATTATAGGAATAATGTTATTATTTAATTTATATTCATAAAGTAAAATAAAATAATATTATAAAAATATATAAATTATTAACAAAACCTTACTATTCAAGATCATTAATTTATATTTATTGAAAATCGTATTAGATAATTACATAATTTGAATATAAAGAAATAGAGAGAGGATTTATTTGTGAATATTTTATTAATGGATGGTCCACTATATTATTTCTAGCAATTTTAGTTTTTTAATATAAGATGTGAGAAAAAATATGGTA